GAGCGGCTCCAGGCCCAGATGGTGCCCGCTCGCCCCCTGCCCCACTCAGCCCCTTAGTGCAAAGACCGGTACCAGTCCAGGCCCAGGGTGGGAACCTGGACGGGGGGACATAGGAGCTCGTGTGGACAGAGTGTTTCCCTTTTTTGATTTTTTGTTTCTATCCTGTGGATTATTTTTTAAGTAAGGATCATTCATTAAGATGTTAGAGGAGTCTTTCTCTGTTTGTTTGTTTGTTTTTTGAGAGGTTTTTACTATAGGGCACGTGCGCTCGCCAGACAGACAGAGAGGGACAGAGAGACAGAAAGCAAGAAATCACCCCCCAGGGGGAATGGCCACGCCACAATCCCTTCTCCTCCATTCTCCTCTCGGGATCTTGGGTAAGCACGCACATGCGCCCGGCGTGAGTTTAAGCCACCAGGTCCGGGACGCAAACCGGGGTCGACTACGTGGGAGTCCAGCAACATAGCCATTACGCTAACTGCTGGTCCCTCTGTTTGTTTTGTTTTGATTGCAGGAGGACTCTTGTTTTCACCAGAGAAAGACAGAGAGAGAGGGTGAAGACAGCCCCCAACGAGTGTGGGCATGCCACCATTTCTTCTCCATTTTTTCGTCCTGTCAGGTTCTGGGCACACATGAACACATACACAGCATGGTTTTCAAACTGCCAGGGCTAAGAGTTGAATCATGGTAGGCTGCGGGGAATCTAGCTGACCTGGCCATCAGGCCACAGGGCCAGCTCGAAGCTTCTCTTGGTGTAAAAAATTTGAAGCACAGTTTAGGATTTTGTTTTTTAAATGATTCTTTAGTACCTTTGATCACTGGCTCTCTTCAGGGAACAGAAGCGGGCCTAGCTGGTCTCTAGCAATCCCACTTGCTCCCTGGGCATGGTTTTCTGTCCTGACCTCACTTCTCTGGCTGCTCCCAACACAGGTCCCCACTGGTGAATTCTCTGGCAATTGAGTTGCCACTGAGGCATCAGCACACATCACATGGCACTCACTTTTGTTCCCTCCTCCCCTGAGCCTTACCTGGCGGGGCTGTGGCATCCCATCAGAGCGTGGAGATGGCCGTCCACCCATCCATCCGTGCAGGACGGCCACGTAGGTGCCTGAATTGCTAGTTTGTATTTGGACGTCTGTAACGGGTTAACTCTTTATTAAAATGGGAGCTCTTTCAGCATACTTACCTTATTTACAAACCTTACTAATGTGACTACAGACCAGACTCTGATTCCCAGGTGCCGTATCCTGAAGAGTGTGTGACTTTTAAAGATTTAGAGGAGTCACTTAAGGACTCTTTGGTAACGGATCAACTTGAGAACTCTTTTCATCTCAAACTTGAGAAGTCCTTAGTCCATTCACTGTAAGTTGCCTCTTCCGTGAAGTGAGCTTGAAACTTCCTCCCAGAGAGATTTCCGGATGCGTGGAGACGAGCACTCTGGTTAAACCCAGACAGACAGACAGACGTGGGTGAGAAGGTGGCGAGAGGACAGTGCTGTTCCCACGCTGCCGTGACACTTCCTCCCCGTTGTCGGCTCAGAGCAGGGTGTGTCCTGCAGAGCTGGGTGTCTCAGTGCGGAGCACGCCGGAGGCCTGTCCTGTGAGCAGGGCAGGAGTGTGATGGGGGTCCTCGGCCCAGCCCTGCGACAGGGATGTCACCTGCACAGAGAGGGTGTCTGGGAACGGTTCTTACTCATGCTACACTCCGGAATGAAGAGGAAATGTTTGGAAACTTTCTAGTAGTTTAATAAAGTAGTTATCTAATTTTGAAAGATGAGGACATACAAATTTTCCTTTTTTTATTTTCATTTTTCTAATTAGTTTTTATTATTGCACCAAACCGGTGATTATGGCAGAGCAGAAATTTTTAAATAATCTCTGAATCTTTTCTCCATGTGTTCTGTGGAGCTCCCTCCCAGGAGAAGGATAGTATGAGTGAGGGTGGCCGGTAAAGCTGAGCAGACAGAGTGCAGGAAAGAGGGTGTCACCAATGGCAGGGCTCCCAGACCTGGTTGTGGCTGCAGCAGCAGGTGGGGATGAGGCTGGGATGGCGCCTCCCGGTCCTTGTGCCTTTCAGAGCGCTTTCTGTGGCTGCATAGCCCTCAAGATCCATGATACTTCCAGTAGCCTGTACTGCCTGCGCTCCAGAGGTCCCGGTGGCTCCATGGGGGCTCCGGCCTCCTCTCCTGGTCCGTGTGGCTCCATGTGGGCTCCAGCCTCCTCTCCTCTCCTCCCGCACTCCAGAGGTCCCCGTGGCTCCATGGGGGCTCCGGCCTCCTCTCCTCTCCTCTCCTCCTGCACTCTGGAGGTCCCCGCGGCTCCATGGGGGCTCCGGCCTCCTCTCCTCTTCTCCTGCACTCCAGAGGTCCCCACGGGCTCCATGGGGGCTCCGGCCTCCTCTCTTCTCCTCTCCTCCCCTCCCCTCCCCGCACGCCTGAGGTCTCCGCACCCTCGAGTTGTGCGCCTATCTGGCTGCGTGGGCCAGACCTGAGTGTGGGTCTGCTGTGTCTCTCCTCGCATGTCTGCCCTTAGTCCAGTTTTGACCTGTGACCGGTTGTCTCACTGGCGCACTGTCTAATAGATTGGTCATTTAAAAACTTAAGTAGACTGATCAATTTGATTTGCTGAACTGTTTTTTTATAGCCATAAATTTGATATAGGTATTGAAAGAAGAGTACTTTCCCCCCTAAATTTGACTCAATTAATAACTTTTTTAAAATTTTGCATTAGCAACGTTGTTGGCTTAACATACACATACAGTTAATTAGAAATAGAAATTGATAAGGCTTCTGCAGAACATTTTCTATGTAGCATGTAGCTAGGAAGTCACATAACAGCTAACACATTAGTTACTATTCCACTGTAGTGAAAAGCGATTGCGTGGAAGCTTGAGGTTCATAGAATTGGACCACTTCAGGACTTTGTGGCTTTTCTGAGCAGTCAGTCAGGTCCCACGGCCCTCCTGGGGGTCGTAGAGTGCTAAGTAAGTATGGTGCCATCTAGTCCCCTTTTTTGGACACGAATCATCCAGAAGCTTTTATTCTAACTAAGCCATCTTGAAATGTGTAGCTCTGGGTCAGGCGAATGTAACCTCTGGCTTTCACGATGAAGCGTTTGAAAGCCATCAGAGGCCTTCCTGGGACCAGCTGGACTAGAGACCTGCTGTCCTTGTGAGCACTGTGCCGCGGTCGTCCTTGGGTCATGAGAAGTGGCATCCTGGTTGTGGCTCTACCCTGGTATGCCCCTGACCTGGTCTCGCTAACACAGAAGCGTGCCAACTTTGGCCTTGGGCAGGAGATGGGCTTTGGACCTGATAGACATTCTCCTACGACTGCATCTGAGAGGGCCGCTAAGGCATTGTTAGCCAGGCCCAGGCACGGGATGCCAAGTGAGACTTACATGTTCTCACCGTGTCCTGTCATGCTTTGAAAACTGATCTGTGGAGACCCAGAATAAGATGCCTGTAACCTAGTGGCAGTGAGGCCTCGGTCCAAGCCAGGTGAGAGGGTGCACGTCAGAGCTCCTAGCAGATTGTAGCCTCGAGTACAGCCTCAGGGCCGTCCAAGATGCTCGCAGTGTGAGGTCTGGCTCTGGCTGGCTCCTGACCCTCTCCCCTGAACTTAACTGGGTGTCGTGAACTGGGTGCCAGCCTAGATTCCGGAGCACTTATGATCTGCCTCAGCTTCTGGGGCATCAGGTTTTAGCCTGGTGTCCTGTCCGTGAGCTTCTGTGAGTCTTCCTTATTCTGGTACTGTTGAAAGTTGATTTCTGCAGTTGCCTTGTTTTGCCTTTGTGGTTATTCAACATCAGTGAACTTCTGTGTTTTGACTAAGTTAAACTAAATTGGCCAACTAAGAAGAAATCCCGATCGGCCATGCGTGACGGTCGGCTTACCAGCATGAATGGGCTCTGTGATCTGCGTTTTTGGAAAGCCTCTGAGAGAGATGTCACCATGTATGTAACACCCCCGGTGTGCTGAGTCACCTGATCTAGGAGGTGCACGTGGGCCCTAGGACACAATGCAAGCTTTTGCACAGCTGGCTGAGTTTCCGGCCACGTGTGGGCAGACCAGGCCTTTCCAGGATGGCTGATGCTGCCCTGTCAGCGGAAGAGTATCCGTGCGTCTTCTCGTGTTAGACTTGTACTGCTTAGCACGTCCTAGGACTTCGCCGAAGTCCATTTTGAATGTTCCAATGAGATCCTCCTGAACTAGCCAAGTTAATACACTGTCCGACAAATCTATGTAAAATCGGGTACTGTGACACTGTCCAGCAAACACTTTGTCAGAAGTTCTCTCTGCTCACCGCTCAGCCCCTGTAAGGACCGCTTTCGTGTTTTTCAGGTTCTGTAATAGGTGTTGTCATTTATACTGGAAAAGAGACTCGGAGTGTAATGAACACATCCAATCCAAAAGACAAGGTAGGCTAGCTTAATGAGCACCGGCTTTACTGGACCTGGTTTTCCCTCGGCGAGAAAATCTGCGTAGTCCTCACCAGCTCGCTCATTGTGGGATAACGCAGACTTGAACAAGCATTTGCAATGTAGGGCATGAATTCGCTGTACGTATGTAACAACATTCTACCAATCAATTTCCAAAAACGTACCTTCTCGTGGCTGCTCAAACTTATGTGTCTTAAATGTTCATGGTTAGATTTTTAATCTGCCCATAATTTGACAGTCGGTTGTGGGTCTCTAATTTCTCATCTTCAGTGTATTTTACAATGTACATTCTTTATTTTAGTGTTGATAGTTTGTTTTTAAGCTAAAGAAATCTCTATTAATGTTTCTGTGGTACTTCAATTTGATAATGTTAGTTATATTGTGAAACCAATTTTATTTTCAGAAGATGCATATTGAAAACCAATTTTAGTTTCAAAATTGCTTGGTTTTATTCTTAAATTGATTATATTCCTACAGTTGTTATTTATGTTGCCGTGTATGTGAGTGAAGCCATAACAGGAGGTGAATGTGAGCTGCAGTGGTCGCTGTTCGGACCTCACGTCCCACGTGATGGAGTCGCGGTGCTGTGTGCTAACGTGCACTTAGTGGGAAGCTACCTGCGCATTATTTTATTCATTTTCATTTAAAATAGGACCCGTGGGTGTTTAAGTAGGACAGACGGCCCTCCTGGGGCGGCATGTCTTGCTCTTTGAGTCAGTTACCTGACTACAAAGAAACAGAGTAGCCCTTCGGAAAGGCCCGTCTAGGCAGGCCGTGCCCCTCTCCAGGGGAGCACCGCGGATGGGGGGCTCGCCCTCTGAAAGGCAGGAACACGTTCCCAGCACTGCGGCTCCCAGGCCTGCTCTTCCCTGCACTTCTGGAGAGTGGCTCTGCTGCTGCGTCAGACATGGAGACGCAGAGCTCCCTGAGTAGCGGCGAGAGCGCTCTTAGCCGTGCCCCGGGGTAAGGCTGTGTGATGGTCCCATCTCTGTCGGGATGCGGGTCCGGTGGTGGCCCTCAGTAACGCGGCCCTCGGCCCGGCAGGCCCACGTGGGAATGCCTCCTGAGTGACAGGCGTGCCCGTGCTGTGATTCGGGACTGGCCGAGGCTGGGCGGGCCCTGGCGTGAGGCCCAATGGGGAGGCTGTGCCCACCCCATTCACTCCTGAAGCAGCGAAGCATAAACGTCTTTTTGTACTCTCTCCGCGCATTTTCGGACTGCAGTGGCTCGCCGACAGGTAATTAAAGCCACGGACACCCAGACCGGGGGTATGGGGACGACCGAGTTCTGACAGGTATCTGAGACATCTTGGCATGTTTTATGTGAAAGCGTGCCCTGGCACCTTCTGACAGCCCAGTAACTGCGCTAAGAGGAGCGATGTGCTGAGCTGGCTCCGCAGGCTCCCTCTAACCTGGTTGTTAGATGTGCTCAAGATGGTTTATGAAACTAACACTGACAGAATCACTTTTACATATCTGTATGTTTTCCAAGAACAATGCTGATTTCCCAAGGAGATAAAATGAAAATACTCTGAAGCGTGTACAACTTCTGTGGGTTTCTAAAAATCATTTTACTTTTATATTTATGATGGTATTTGAGGATAAATTTAGGCTTACGTGTGAAGTTTAAAATCCTAAAAGCGATTGCTGCCTCCTAATGATGACCCTCTCTGTCCCTCCATACTGTTCCTCGGCGTGACAGAGCCCCATCGCCGTTTGTCTGCCTGCCCAGACCCCGCTTGCCGCTGTGGCGCACGCCCGTCAGCCTCTGGGGCTTCGCTGCCGTGGGGTTTTGCCTCACAGTCAGGTGGCCTCTCGAGAGCACCGGAGTGTCACTGCCTGGGGAGAGGTCGGTCCGATCCGGTACGTGGCTTCCCACCGTGGCACAGCCCTCCAGGAGGCCTGCGCCCACTGTTCCCGAGTGGCTTGCCACAGGACAGGTGCCTGTGCGTGTTCCCAGCAGTTCTCTCTGCTATGTTTCTATTTCTTTAAGTTTTATTTATTATTATTATTATTTTATTTATTACTTTTTTAAATTCACCAGAAAATGAGAAAGCAAACTGCCATGCCCAGAACTCGAACCGTGGTTTGCCATGTGGGAGTCTAGTACCGTTATCACCACGCCACCTGCTGGTCTCCCTACCACGTTTCTGTGAAGCGAGATGTTCTCCATTCTGTGTTCTTTTAACCCCATCACTGCCGCAAACTGAGTAGTTCATGCAGAGTCCTCGCTCTGTCCTGCCTGGCCTCCTTGTATCCTGAAAGTTCTCATGGTAACTGACCTGCCCACGCCCATCTCCTCCTGTAGTCACAGAAGCCTTCTAGAACAGCCCACTGCAGGCCTCATCTAACGCAGCTGGCATGGCCTTGTTCATCGTGGCTCCTCTGGGACCATGCTCGGAAACAGTCTGTGACCCCTGGGTAGGAGGTGACAGGCCAGCTTGTTTTTAATACGACTTCTGCTGGTGAGCCACCAAGGCCATGTGTCACTGACCAAGACGGCCTCAGCTAAGCTGAAGGTGCCAGGGAGGAGCGCCCTGCCTGGTGCAGCAGCAGGGTTGGAACTTGGGGTGAGCAGCATTCGTGGCTGGCCACCTTGAAGTGCTCAGGATGGGCCTTTTTCTGTAGCATAGCATGAGGGACCTGGTCGAACCCCTAGGAACACTGACATTTGAGGGGTCCCAGAGTGGCAGGAAGGGAGCGGTGAACAGGGACTGCACCGTGGGTGGTGGGCGAGGCAGGGTGAGGGCCCTGTGCGGAGCAGAGTGGAGAGAGAGGGCAGCCGGCCGGTCAGTCAGGAATGTAGGTGACGTGGAAGACTGTGCAGTGGCGTCACGGGAGCACAGGGCCAGGGCGACTGCAGCGCAGAGGAAGGGGAAGGGTGCTTCGTGAAGGCCCTGGGCCCTAGCGGGGGGGTGGGGTGTGGGGGGCAGGCCATGTGTGCTCTCGGACAGAGACTGACTGGGCAGCTGTGGTGGCCAGAATGGACCGACTCTCAGGAGGAAAAGGCTTTACTGGCTTTGTGTTTTCCTGGTAAGAAAACACTGTATCATAAAGCTTTAATTGTTTCGGGGCCAGCAGGTGGCATGGTGGTTAAGGGTACTGGACTCCCACGAGGCTGACTGTGGTTCGAGTCCTGGACCTGGTAGCTCACTTTCTCGCTCTTTCTCACTCTGTCCTTCTCTGGTCAAATTAAAATAAATAAAATAATTATTTTTAAAAAGCTGTTATTGTTTTCAGGAAAAGAAGAGGGGATCTTAGTTCATAAATAAGGAAATACTAGTTTTGTGGCAGAGGAAGTAGCTTAAAATGAGATTGCTCCAGGAGAGGACATGGCGCCGGGTGCCGCGTGCAGTGGGGGTGCTCCTGTGTCCTGGAGGGCTCCCCAGTGAGCAGACCCCCTTCCTGCTTCCCTCCCCTCCTCACCCTGCGTGCAGTGGGGCACTCCTGTGTCCTGGAGGGCTCCCCAGTGAGCAGAACCCCTCCCCGCTTCCCTCCCCTCCTCCCCC